ACTTTTTTTTTAAGTTACATATCTATAAGAACAAAGGAATGGGGCAACAGCCATAGCATTTTGGAATCTGGGATACAGGTGGATGAGTGATAGCTTACTGAGCAGAGGAGAAAGGAAGAAGTAGCCTAATTTACACTGATGACTTGTGCGAAGCTCAGGAGTTTTCAGCAACAAGGACCCCTTGGAAATGAGAGCGAAGATAGGACTAAAATTAGGAGTATTGGCTGAAAGTTCAGATCTGCTCCCCAACTTTATACAAGCAGGTAACTAACTGCCCCTCTTTCACTCCATAATAGAAATGGAGAGGTTTTTTTTTTTTTTGTACAGATGATAAAATAGAGGTTTCTGGATTGGAAGGTATCAGGAAAAGTCAAGTGGTATTATATAGTCTTGAAATCAGGGAGATTGTACTGATTTACCAAATCCTGAGAACCATAGCTACCTTCTTCTCCCTGCCCCCTAGCCTGAAGGCAGCCAGGATGATACCCTATCTGCAGGAGACTTCCCTGGGATTATGACCTAAAAATAAAACTCGAGGGCTTCCCTGGTGGCGCAGTGGATGAGAGTCCGCCTGCCGATGCAGGGGACACGGGTTTGTGCCCTGGTCCGGGAGGATCCCACATGCTGTGGAGTGGCTGGGCCCATGAGCCATGGCCGCTGAGCCTGTGCGTCCGAACACGCAACAGAAGAGGCCACAACAGTGAGAGGCCCGTGTACAGCAAAAACAAAACAAAACAAAACAAAAAAAACCTCGAGGATACTGACATCAGGGGTTCCCAAAGAAGAGCCCTAACTAGAACAATCCTAAAATAAATCTCAAATCAACCCCTCCCCACAGACAAAACCTTCCTGTTGACTTTCTCGGGCCTCACCAGTAATTACCAAGCAGACAGCCAAGGATCATCAGACATTTGAGGAAAGTCTCTATTATGCGAGACAGAAACTAAAACATGCAAACAGAAAAAAAGCAACTTGGAGGAAAACAGAACCTTTGCAGGAAGAAAAAATCTTAAAAAAAGAAAATCATTTGTATCTTCAGATAGATAAGGTGTGATATTACAACTGTGAAACAGAAGAGACTTTATAAGGGTTGGGAGATAAAGTTAAGGAAATTTCCCAGAATGTGAAGTAAAAGAGAAAGAATAGAAAATAATATAGAAAAAATAAGAAATTTATAGGATTGGTTCATGAGGTCCAACGTCCAAAAACAGCAACACCAGCTTGAGAGAATATAGAAAACAGAGGACAGAAAACTGTCAAAGGAATAATTCAACAAAATCTCCCCCAACCAAAGATAGGAGGTTCCCAATTAAAAGGTAATACCAGTACATGGTCATGAAACTTGACAACACTATGATGTGTTCCAATAAATGACAGGGTAAACCAAAAAGACCCCAGATCCCAGAGACGGGACCAATGTAAGAGCCAGCTGTGCAGAGGGACAAGTGATCCACTGATCTCAACAGGAGTAGGTAGAGAGCTTCAGGAGAGACCACTTGAAGATGATGCAATTGATAAAACACCTGATCTATTCCTATTGAGAGGAGATTTACAAATCTGGGGGAGGCTTTGGGGATAACCTCAGGATAATTATATAAGGAAACTAACCAAAGTGAAATGTAACACTGATTTGTTACATTGAAATGAAACATTTCAGTGAAATGTAACAGGAAGGAGAAAAAGGAATGCAGAAAAGGAAATGTAATCATGGAATATTACATGACTCAGATACTAATAATGTCTCTGTAGCTATAATGATTTAAAATGGGTATTTAATATAACCAAAATTGTGCTAGAATTCTGAGGATAGGAACATGGGACAAATATAGGTGGATGAAAACTAACCAACCAACCAACCCTCATCTTCCTTATTGGAAGGCCAATAGATAACGCCTAAAATTGAAAAACCAAGAAATAGTGATACAAGCATGTTATTAAAATCAGTTCTCAATTTCGCCTCAATGTGGCGCACATAGGAACAGATAACTTAGAAACATAGTAAGCTGGGGACATCCATTTGGGGACTACTGTATAGCTAAGAAACTTCCAAATGAAATCTTTTCAGATTTTCTAATGAGAAACCTGAATTTGCTTTCATGAACATAACTTCTTTTCACATTGCTATTTGCCTAAATAGCTAAATAGAATTCTTGATCAAGATGTCAGTGATTCTCCTCTTGGAATTCATATTAGTCACTGTCAGATACTACACAAGCATCGATTAAGAAATATTCAGGCTGTTTCACCACTATTCCAAATTTTACAGCGGTTAGAATTATGTTTAAAAAATCCAACAGCTTTAATCGTCTTCTTTGCTCTATAAATGCAATACTCCGATACTGCCCTTTGAATTTTTTTTCTATGAAGTAATTAAAAATGATGACGGGGCCCCTAATTGGTAAAATGCGTGTTCATTGTCAGAGCAGTCACCCCATAGGTAGTTTGGATGCCAGTGAAAGGGCACGTTAGCCCCCAGTGGAAAGAAGTTTCTGAAACCCATAAAGAGAGAATTTGGGGAGCTGATACCAAGAGCTTTGCCCACCAGTTCCCCCTCCCCAACTTACTAGAGGCCCACCTTCAGCCAGCTGTACCTTGCACGTCTGGAATGCAAATGCCTCCCCCAGCTGCATGGACGGCTTCTCCAGAAGGGCAGTGGTACCTTCTGCAGCGGCCTGTTAACATGGGTGTCCCTGGACATGCAGTGCTTCTCAGCAGAGCAGTGGGGACTGTGCCTTTGGACTCTGGGGAAGCTGATGGCCAGCTGTGACCTCTCCAGCTGCACGGGGCCCCACCTTCTTCGCTGAGGCTGAGGGGTGTCAGGACCTCATAGCAAACCTGGAACCAAGTCACAGCACAGCAGTGTGCTGAGACCTACCGGCTGGGATGCGCTGATTTCTAGATGTGGAAGCAGAGTCCCAAACGATGACTTAAAAAGTTGTAAGCAGTTAACCTGCGGGCCTAGCACTACTTAACAGGTGAGACTGTGTTACGAACAAATTGGCGTAAATACAAATTGATTCTCAAGGAATATCTCTCATGTGGTCATATTAGATCTTCCAGACCTTTTACTTCATCCAGGGATTGGAAAGGGCTGCATTGAACCCCGTTTCCATGAGGCGAGACAGTAAAATATATGTAATTGTGGAACGTGGCCCACTTCTTAAATTCAGAGGCTCTTCAGTTTGTGGATTAACCACATGCTGTATTTTACCATTTTGTCTCAAGTATGAAGGTAAAGAACAATACATCTGAAGATAGTAAACTTCATCTGTTTCTAAAAGGAAGAAGAGAAGTTGAAATTAATGGGGAATAGAACTTGTGTTTTGAATCTCCGATTGTTTATTTTCTTGCTGTCCCTTTAACATGGTCCTAGGGAAGTTAGTAATAATGTTTTAGGAGAAGAGTTAGGAAATGGATAGTCACTCTTTCACTACATTTTTAAGCTGGAAAAGAAGAAAGGCAGTTAAGGATACCAGAGCGGTGACTTCTCACTCTCCCTGCAGAGGGGAAGCAGAACTGGTCCATTTGGTGCCCTCCATATTCAAGGTTGAAATTGGAAACAATGGTGCTTTAATTCGCTGCTGAGTTAATGGGCCTGCTGATTTGTTCTCATTTTTCAGGCCTCTAAAATGTCCTTAAAACCCTCTCAAGGGTTTTATACTTTTAGCCTGAGGTCTCTGTGCTTCATTTTTCCTTTTGTTCTTCAGACACTCTCATTGCCTCTCCTTGTTTCATCTGCTGAGAGGTTCAGAAAAATGCATGGTATGTACTGAATAATTTGGATGGAGCTTGTGACATGTCTTGATGATGTTAAGCCACTCAGAATCCTAGAAAATAGTCCCAGCTTGCATTAGCAGTAGATTAATGCAGGTGAACTTCAGAGTCTTAATTTTAAAGAATTTACATTTTTACCAGTGATGATTGAAAACCATTGGCATTCTCTCTGCCTGCATTACTGATTACAATTGCAAATACTTGCAAAAAGTGCTAGGGTGACTTTTCACTGTTCCATAAGGAGCAGAGTATTATTTTACCCGTTTAATGGCTATTAAATATTAAAAAAACAATTTTCCAAAAACACATCCATAACTGTATGCAACACGTGCACAAATCACAATGGGAAATACATTCTGATACGCATGCCTAATAATACTCGTGTAGATTAGTTTCCGTGTCTAAGAGAATTTGCCAAGAGGAAAGGTTAAATTCGGGGGAGGTTTCTCATTTGCGACTTTGTTCCGAGGATGGAACAAATAGGGGTGCTTTCAGATGAAACCGAGCAAGTTATTACTCAGGTAGTTCCTTTTTGCCCCAGGATTTCCTGGATGTGAGCTGTACGTGAGCCCCAGCCTCAGGATCTGAAGCAGGAATGGTGGAAAACCATAGTGAGTTAGTTATTTGGGATGTGGGACCCCAGAAGCCCCATCACCTCTTGAATTTTCCCTGTGAAAAACGAGCAGGGGTTATTTTTTAATGTTAAGGGAATTCCTTCGGAGTAGAGATTCAGAGGAGAGCAGGAACGTATTAGGGGAGGGGTCTTAAGAGAGAAGGGTTAGCCCCACCTTCTGGAGAGCAGAGAGGGGGCAGGGCACAGGGGTGGGGCCTGTGAGCTGGGGGCAGAGCTAGAAAGGAGGAGAGTGAGGGGAAAGCAGGGAGTCAGCTGGTGGACTTGAGATCCGGGGCTGAAATTTAATTTCAGAAGAAACATTTGGAACACTTGGCAACATGTCACATGATTGATCAAAGTGACATTTGGGGGAGGTAATCTTTTTTTTTTAACATCTTCATTGGAGTATAATTGCTTTACAATGGTGTGTCAGTTTCTGCTGTATAACAAAGTGAATCAACTATATGTATACATATATCCCCATATCTCCTCCCTCTTGCGTCTCCTTCCCTCCCACCCTCCCTATCCCACCCTTCTAGGTGGTCAAAAAGCACCGAGCTGATCTCCCTGTGCTATGCAGCTGCTTCCCACTAGCTATCTGTTTTACATTTGGTAGTGTATATTGGGGGAGGTGATTCTTGCTGTGGGTTATACAGTGACTCAGAAGAGGGAGAAGGCAGGCACATAGTGAGAAGAGCTGCAGTGAGGAAGGGAGAAGGCGAAGAGATTGGCCTTGGTGACAGGACTGATAGAGAAGACGGAAGATGAGGAGAGCTTACTGAGAACTTTCAGTCAAGGCTGGGGGGCTGCCTCGGAGAACTCCTCCCATTCCTACTGGTCCGAAAAAAAAAGAGGGCGTATCCAAAAGATTATATACAGCAGATGTCCAGATGCCTTCTAGAATAGATCAGTTCTCTTCCCAGCTTACAGGTCATGGAACCGTGGCAATGGAACAGTTTGCAAAAGATAGAAAATTTGGTCGGTTCTCCTTTGGACGTGCTACGACCCTTTCCCTCATTCCTCCCACTCCCGGGAGATCCTACAGTTGGCAATAAATAAAGGGGTGTGAGAAGAGTTAGCTGTCGGGAAGGGAGCACAGGCCTGGGATGGGCTGCGCATACACAGTAATTGGATCCGGGTGTGGGGATAAGCATTCCATGTCACACAGAGGAGATGGGAAGAGCCGAGGCTGGAGAGCACACACAGTAAGCTGCCTTTTGAGGCCAAGGGAGGAAAGGAGACAGAGAAGGAGCAGTCAGAGTGGCATTAAACCCGTGAAATTGATCTGAACTTGACAGGGATATTTGCTTCATTAGAGCTGATCGTATGACTTGTGCTTTTAGGCCATAAATGAGGGGACAGTTCCATCCCCCAAGACTTAGCATCCACAGAGAATTCACAATATAAATACAGCAAGGCGAGCCTCCAAAGCAGCCTTGCTGAGCAGATGTTCAGCCACCAGAAAGATTTTCATGAGCCTCTTTTACAAATATAGTTCCCCATTCTTCTTCTTAGAGTCAGCCTCTTAGAGTGAGAAGCCTTTAAATGAGTATCAGGAAGGACATTTTCAAGAAAGTCCTGTACTCCATAGTGGTGGAGCTATTTTAACAAAATGAGTGAAAGTAGTCGAAAGGTACAGACTTCCAGTTATAAAATAAATAAGTCGTGGGGATGTAGTGTAGAACATGGTAACTCTAGTTAATAACAGTGTATTGTACATTTGAACATTGCTAAGAGAGTAGATCTTAAAAGCTGTCATCCCAAGAAAAAAAATAATTTATAAGCTATGTGTGATGATGGATGTTAACCAGACTTCTTATGGTGATCGTTTTGCAATATATTCGCATATTGAATCATTATGTTGTACATCCGAAACTAACATAATGTTATATGTCTCCCAATAAAAAATTCTAAAAAGAGAATACATTAATTTTTACATTGTAATCAAAATCAAGCAACACTCACCGAACCACCAGGATGGATTATAACGCTGAACACTTTGTTCTAAGTGGGAAACCCCTTTGAGTCTTGTATCAGTCAGGGTTTTGCAGAGAAACAGAATCAATAGATATGCACACACCTACGCCTGTGTGTATGTACATATAGTATATTTATTTTAAGTAATTGGTTCACATAACTGTGGGAGCTGGCAAGTCTGAAACTCATAGGGGTGGCCAGCAGGCAGGAGTTGATGTCGTAGCCTTGAATCTGGAACCTGTAGGGCAAGTCAGCAGGCTGGAAACTTAGGCAGGATTTCTTTTTTTTAAATTAATTTATTTTATTTATTCTATTCTTGGCTTTTTTTAAAATTAATTTATTTTATTTATTCTGTTCTTGGCTGCAGTGGGTCTTCGTTGCTGCGCGCGGGCTTTCTCTAGTTGTGGCGAGCAGGGGCTACTCTTTGTTGCGGTGCGCGGGCTTCTCATTGCAGTGGCTTCTCATGTTGGGGAGCACAGGCTCTAGGCCCACGGGCTTCAGTAGTTGTGGCACACGGGCTCAGTAGTTGTGGCTCATGGGTTCTAGAGTGCAGGCTCAGTAGTTGTGGCACACGGGCTTAGTTGCTCCGCGGCATGTGGGATCTTCCCGGACCAGGGCTCAAACCCGTGTCCCCTGCATTGGCAGGCGGATTCTTAACCCCTGTGCCACCAGGGAAGCCCTAGGCAGGATTTCTGTGTTACAGTTTTCAGGCAGAATTCTTTTTTCTCCTGGAAACTCAGTTTTTGCTCCTAAGGCCTTCAACTTGATTATATGAGGCCCACTCAGATTATCCAGGGTACTCACCTTCGCCTAAAGTTAACTGAGGGATACTGTGAATTATATCTACAAAAATACCTTTACAGCAACAGCTAGACTTGTGTTGGACCAAATAACTGGGCACCAAAGCCTCCCAAGTTGACATCACATACTTCTGACTTTTACTTTGGTGGAAGAGCAAAGTTAGCTGTGTTTTGTCCCGTTTCCTCAATGTTGAAATCTTTACAATGAAGAAAGATTTTCTTAGTCATTCAAAAGTGGCAGTTTTGGTGGTACCTTTTATCCTGTCAAATTATGAAAAAAAAGAGAAAAAAAAAACTTTGAAGAGCTGGGCAGCACCAGCACCTTACTTCTGTCGCACAGGATGCAGACGGTCTTGTCTGCTCTGTCTGGTGAGTGGGTGGCATGGGTGATACAAGTTATACTCTTCCTAAACTCTGTACTGAGACCACTCCCCTGACTGTGCAGCCATTGCTGGGATGTGGGGAGTTAATGTTTTCTGGGAAGAACTTTAATGTTAGGATTTACTGTCTTTTGCACATATAAATTTGAAGCCTTGGTGCTATGCTCTTCTAGTTATTTGCATTTAATATGCATGCAAATTCACAATGTATCCTATGTACCGAGCACATAATTTATCCATCGGTACTTTCCCTGGTTGTTAGCAATTTTGGCCTTGTTAAAAATTAATGCTTTGAAGAGATACATGATTTCAAATTTATATGTAGTATCTTTAGTTTCCAGAGGAAGATACGGAGTACATTCTCCGCTGGAAAGGTAGAGCTCTGCTGTAACGTTCTCCGTGTTTAAAGAAGTTACATATACTGCTACAGGTTAGAATGCTTTTATTTATCTTTCCTATGAATGGGTTCGGATTAGTTGTCACAGATGTTTGTTTCCCCTAACAATGCTGAAAAATATGTTTCTGAAGCATGATTGCAACCCACAGCATCCTGATACGATGGGGAGGGAGAGTCCTTTCAGGTGATAAACACACCTCACGCAACAAGAGTACATATTGTACGTTTAATGGAAGAACACCAGGTCTGTACAGCATGACCCACGGCAGGAGGATCCCAGAGAGAGACTCTGAGGCCTCTCCGGCTGCCATTTAGGCCTGTTGTCTTGGCAACCAAAACACAGCCATCAGTCGTTTCCTGGGCCAGGAACTCCAGTCAGCCCTGACTCCACCACGCCCTTCCCTCTTCCCGCTTCCAACCTATCGCTGGTTCTGCCCCGGCAGCTTCCAGGCAGCTTCAGATTTTCCTCCTCACACATCTCCAGGCCCCCACCTGTGTCTATTCTTTCCCCTCATCACCGGCCTCCTGGCTTCTCAGCTGTGTACCTCTTTCATCAGTGCAAACAAGGTTTCCCAAACCTTCCTTCCCACTATTGAAGAAAGTCCTCTTTCTGTTTAAACCTCCAGGCGTTCAGCATCCTCTGCGGGGAACAGGCTTCCATCCTCAGCTTCAGCTGTCGGCTCTGTTCCACTAGTTACCCTTCTCTTTGTGCTCATCTTCGTGGCTTTTAGTCACCCTCCTCCTGCAACTTACCCACACCGTGGTCGGCTTTACCCTGTCTGTCTCTGAGGTGTCTCCGTCCCTCTCAAAATCAGCCCTCCTTAAGTGATAACGAGCAAAGGCTCTCCAGCTGACAAGTGGGTGATGGCGTCAGCACCAGCATAGTCAACGCCATACATATTATGACCAGCTTCTGTGTCGGCATAGTGCTAGTAGGTGCGTAAAATGGGCTAAATTCATCCGGCCTGCAGATGTTGACTCGCGGACCAAGTCGGGGCCTCTGTGTGTTGTCGTGCAGCCTGGCAAGGACATAAGTCGGGGTGAGAAGCCATTTTGGCTCTGCTCACACACACGGGTGTCCTTGGGCACAGCTGGATCTGCCAGAGTAAGAGGTGCCTTCCACCCCCCCCCACTCATCCCCCGACAGAGGCACCTTTAGTAACCAAACTGTGCTGAGACACAGAGCCGAAGGGGCCCCATTTTCTAGCTCCTTTGTGGGCCAAGGTGGTCTCACTTACTATTTGCAGATGGGCACCCTCTGCACTTGGGGAGGCCTTAACTCACGGCATATATGTGAAAATCAAGAAGAACTGAAATGAAGTTTTCTCTGAAGAGGAGAAAACATCCAAAGGAAGACCAAATCTACTCTCTCTCCTTTAGAAACTGTGAATGGCGGGGAATCGTACTTTTGCTTTTGGATTATGTGACAGTGTTTGATAAATGTGATATATTTTGTGGTAATAATGATTTTGTGGTAATAATGACATCCAAGCGAAACATTCTGCAGTCTTTCTCTTCCCCTTCCTCTTCCCCTCCTCTTCTTTTTTGGTAGTAAGCATAGCAGATTATAAATACCTAAAATATTTTGGGTGGCTCCGTGATGCATTTTTACCAGGCTGGATGGTATCATAAGTAACTGCAGCCGCCAGGTCCCATCCATGTGCTGCGGGCGGAGCGGCCTTCTGTCACAGAACGTTCGGGGGCATGGAAGCCACATGCTTGATTGCATACCGCTCAGGAGCCCTCAGGGTGAGGACTTGAGCCTGGCTTACTTCTGGAGCTCAGACATGGACTGATCTCTCCCATGGCTTAGGATTCCCCGAAAGAGGCTGGACTGAGAGAAAGCCACGTGGGAAGAAATCTGCCCATGGGACCAGACTGAGCGACAGCCTGGATGTCCAAGGGAACAGAGGCTCCAGGTACCTCTCCTGACTTAACTAGCTTCCCCTCAACTCCCCTTACCAACAGAAGACACCTGCTCACACACACACACAAACAAGTATGCTCTGGCATGAACGAGACTGTGGCATACGGCGTGGGTTGGCAAACTCCGGCCCTCGGGACAAATCCAGCCTGTGACTGTTTTCGTAAGGATGAAAGGCTAAGAATTGTTTTTAGGGTTTTAAAGCATTGTAAAAACAAAGCAAAGAAGAACGTGTTACAGAGATACATTACTTAAGCCTTTGAAGCCTAAAATATTTATTATCTGGCCCTTAAAGTTTTCCAGTTCCTGCAAAGAACTGGTCTCAGTGCCTAACGACTTCTTCTTGGTGGTGCCTTTTTGAAAGAGCAAGGCCCGAGAGTGGAAATGGTTTCCCTGATGGCCGGGCCTGGAGGTTGGCGTTTTAGAGGAACTTATTTGTCCAGAGAATGTTGTTGGGGGGGGGAGTCAATGGTGACTTGTGGGTGGCAGAGTAACAGTGGTCAGTGGAGCCCACGAAAAGCACAGCGAAGAGGAGAGGAATGCTCTCGGGTGCGGGAACAGCCACGCCCACAAGCACCAGGGCATCTCATAGGGAGTCACTGAGGAGAGGAATCCTGGGTGGAGTACGGAGAACCGGGACCTGGGCTTTTGCCTTAAACGCAACATATTTGTAGCACCGTGAGTGAGGAGGCTGGGGTGGGGGGTGGGGGGGGACTTTGCGTTTACACTTACATTTAGTTCACAAAGTACATCTCATTTTGGAATTGTGAGAACCCTCTGAAACAGGTGAAAGGGCGTTTCTTTCGACTTCAATCTATAGAGAAGAAAGGATTGATGCTTGGTCAGAGGTGTGCCCTGTTCAAGGTCGTACCGTTGTTATATGGTGGGGTTGGAAATCAGACTCATATTCTGGCTCTGAAATCTGAGCACCATCCTCAGGGTCAGTGAATTATCATTGTGAAGTGTTAACCCTGCACCCCAACTCCCCAACACAAAAGGCTTTCCACTCAGTATGAAGTCTATATGTAAGTTTCTTGTGTTAACGTATAAAACAACAAAAATGGGTAGAATAGCTCTAGAACTGGAATCGTTTTGCATATCTCGCCTTTGTAACTTTCTCACATGGCAAAGTATACGTGGGAGAGAGTCTTAGCAGGTGTACGGGATGGCTCGCGCTGCTCGGGATTGCTTGTGTATGTCTGGGAACGCTGGCTTGAGACAGATGGCTTGGCCATTCTAGCTTGACCTTCATAAAGAACCTATGAAAGGAGCAATTGTGAGAAATAATTAATGACACGACAGTCTTCATCAAAATTGGAGTGGCTTTCACTATTTTACCAAAGATGTCAGAGCAAGATCCTATTTACCAATAATAGACAAATCGAGTGGCTTGTTGTGTGTGTGTGTGTGATTTGGACGGCACAGACCGTCATTCCTACCTGATAAGACAGGAGAGAGAAGTTTACCCATTTACTCACCATCCAGAGACTTTGATATTTTTCTCCTCATTAAGTGTGCAGGGGAGCCAGCTGGGTCTGCATGGGCTCTGGCTCTCCATCTGGGTCTGAACCTGAGCAATGGATTTGGTCCTGGAGCCAGTGTCACTGATACAGGAAACAGCCAGCCACAGGGAAGTCCACCAAAACGAGAGCAATCCAGCCGTCCCAGGAATCTAACCGCATCCATATTCAGATAAGGAGAGCACTGAGAGTGATGTCAGGGACTCGGGGGGTAATGCTGCCTTTACACTGCTCATAAAGTATGTTAAAAAAATAAAGCCTTAGAAGTCATGCTTGTGAAGAGTGAGGACAGGGAAATGAGCGAAGCAATTCACACGGTGTCCTTTTTTTGGAGCAAGAAGTTGCGTCAGTTTCTCAGAGTGGCTATTTCATCTTTTACCTTCTCAGTAAGCATGCCTCGGTCAGCCATGGGTTAGCAGCTCAGGATCTGACTTGGATCTTTGCCTTGCTGACTCTTTGTACCTTTTTGATTTCAGCTCAAATGTCATTTCTTAGAGAGCCTTCCTCCCACCCAGTCTGGGGTTTCCTTCCCCTGGCTCTGCCCCCGCGTTCTCTATCTCTTCATTTTGTTTTATTTTCTTCACAGCACCTGTCGCTGTTTGAAATTGTTTTATTTCTTGATTGGCCTGTTTACTGTCTCTCTCTCTTACCTCTGGGACGTAAGCTCCATGGAACAGAAGCCAACTGTTTCTCTCTGTTCTACTGTTGTGTTCTGGAGCACATAGAACAGTGCCTGGCATGTGGCAGGTGCTTCAGAAGTTCATTGAGTGACTCAATGAAAGAATGAATTAGTGAGGAAGTATGTGGTTTTCTGTTGCTTAATTCCACGGCATAGTGCCCAGATACTGGCTTGTGGTCTTTCCCTAGTAGGAGGATCCAGAGGGAGGGACTGTTAGTTTTCTATTGTTGCAGTAAGACGTTACCACAAACTTAGCGACTTATACAGTACAGATTTATTATCTTAAAGTTCTAGAGATTAGAAGTCCAGCACAGGTCTCACTGGTTTAACATCAGACTGTTAGCAGGGCTGCATTCCTCTCTGGAGGCTGCAGAGGAAATCCATTTTCTTGCCTTTTTCAGCTTCCAGAGACCACGCACATTCCTTGGTCTGTAGCCCCTTTCAAGATGTTCAGAGCCAGCAATGATCTGAATCTTTCTGACTGCCATCTCTCTGATTCACTACAGCTGGGGAAGTTTCTGTGCTTTTAAGGACTCCTGATTAGATTGGGTTTACTTGGATAATCTAGGAAAATCTGCCATCTCAATGTCCTTGTTACTCCTATCGGTAAAGTCCTTTTTGCCAGGTAAGGTAACGTAGTCGCAGGTTCCGGGAAAAGGATGTGGACATCTTGGGTGCAGGAGGGGAAAGGGGTCATTATTCTGCCTACAATGTGGATTTACTCACAGAGCAGGTAGAGGATGCTCCAGCCCAGAACATTGTACTCCCGGAATATATATCGTGAAGGACAGAGTCTTCCCAACACATTTATTCATTCAGTAAGAAAGATTTCTGGAGCTCATCGCACTCTCTGTGACAGTTTTGTTTCTGATGGCAGAGTGGGCGAGGCTAGATTGCTGTTTTGTAGGGTTTTGTAGGGTTGGGTGTGGGGAACTTGGAGAAGTTCACCTTTCAGGCCCAGGCCTGACGGTGAGAAATTGGGGTGCTAACCAAAATGGGATCAGTGTGTCCAGTGGGGACGCATAGCAGCTGGAGTGGTGGTGACAGATAACATTTATTGAGTGTAGGCCTGTTTGGAGTACTTTATTTAATTCATGCAATCTGTACATCAGTCCTGTAATAGAGGTACTGTTATTATCCCTATTATACAGCTAATGAAACTAAGGCACAAAGAGGTTAAATAAGTCGCCTAAGATCTTACAACTAATAAGTGATTGAGCCAGGGTTAAAAATCCCATGTCGTCTAGCTCTAGACCCTGCTCCCTAACCAGTGTACTCCCCTGCCTCTCATGGGGCCACTCAGAGAGTGGGTGAAGGAGCGAATGAGAGGGCCAGAGTGGGGTCTGGAGGGCACAGCCTCAGTTTCTGTGCAGGTGTGTTGGGGGGTGGTTGATTTGGACCCCTGGGTTTCCGCTTCCGGAACCTGGGCCAGATGGCACTGTGCGCAGGCGCAGCCCTCCTCCCGGGGCGGGGGAGACGTGGGAGGTGCTGTCTGTGCTGGGAGGATGCGGAACCACGCCGCCCGTGGGCGTTCCCTGTGAGGCGCAGGCCGAGGAGTCGCGTTCTGAGCTCCTGGGTGAGCCATTTGCTGGGCTTCTGGGTTTCGGGGCGTACAGGGTGGAACGGTTGCAGAAGAAAGAGTTGGAAGCCGCGAGCTGACGTGTCCGTTTCATCTGTTTCCAGTTGTGGGTTTGGGCGAAGCCCTTTGGATTTGCTGAGCTTCTGTGAAGAGAGCCTACAAATTGTCTGCATCTCCAGGTGGGAGAAGGATCAAATGATTATTGAGAAGTGCTCTGTAAATATTGGTTATTACTGTCCATGAGCCTGACCCGCAAGGTGGGGAAAAGGAAGCATGTTGGGGCACCTCAGTGCCTCAAAACCTGTCTGGCTTGTATCACCCTTGGGGTAGCCTGAAGAGAGGGAGCAAGATACGAGATTTTCTTCCCATGAGACTGATTGATGGCAGGGATTTACAGGTCAGCCTGGGAAAGCATGTAATCAATCAGGGAGTAAGAAGGAGATCTTGTTTGGGGCGTATAGGTCCATGGTCACGATGGCGCTAATAACCCGGCAGTGGACAAGCCTCCTCCACTTGTTCCCGTCGCCCCTCATTTTAGTAGCTATCAGGTGGCCAGGTCTTGTAGGAAGGTAGTTTTCTGTAGTGGGTTTGCCATGATTGTGTGAGCGCAGGTGATGGCTGTGAGTTTCAGGCTTCAGAGGGAGGTGCAAAAACTTCCCTTGGAGTTGGTGAGCCTCTGCAAATGCTTAATCAGTCACACATAACTGTCAAGAGCAGTGAAGGTTATGAGATTTTACCCTGCCTGTGAGCTAATGAGTGAGCCTGCCACAGTTCCATACGTGTTGGAAAAAGACACAAAACTCCTGGGTCAGACACGAAGGATTCTATTCCACGTGGCACAGCCTGCGGCGCGAGCTTCCTGCTTGCGTCAGTTTCCCTTGTTCCCCAGTTCCCGGGGGGGCAACACTGAGTGACGCCAGGTGGGTACTTCACACCTGATGGGTCTGTGTCACAGCTGAGGAAGGCAGAGTTTAGGAAGCCACCAGTCTTTTTAAAAATTATTTATTTATTTTTTACATCTTTATTAGAGTATAATTGCTTGACAATGGTGTGTTAGTTTCTGCTTTATAACAAAGTGAATCAGTTATACGTATACATACGTTCCCGTATCTCTTCCCTCTTGCGTCTCCCTCCCACCCTCCCTATCCCACCCCTCCAGGCGGTCACAGAGGGAAGCCACCAGTCTTATAAAGGGCTGCTGGCAAATGTACTCAGCC